CCTGGCTGCTGGTACCAAGAGTGTTGACTGTGGAGCCAAGCAAACTAAAACTGTTAACTATCTCAATCTCTTCACCATCCATACTGATGCTGCCACTCGGCTGAGTGGTGAGAATCTTTGTTCTTGATGTTGAGCTTCAATCCATATTAAAGGCTGTAGTCCTTGACCTTCTGCAGCAAGCGCTTCAGGTCCTCCTCAGTTTCATCATGCAGGGTTATGTCATCTGCATAATGCAGTGCAGGTTGTTGAAGACTCTTCCACCAATCCTGATGACACTACTGACTTTTTTCCTTTCAATTAAAATAATTCATCATAATTAATTAGAATTGTTATCTAATTTTAGATTACAAGTGATTCATATTTGTTAGCACATAGAAATTTAATTGTCATGATTATTCCTTTTATTAAATTTTGTACTAGAAAATTATACCCAGAAAGTAAAAAAAAAAAGTTTGACTGATCTTTGAGGTTAATTAAACCAACATATTAGGAGATCTGTGGATATTTATTAGGAACATTGTTTGCAAAATGGTTAAGTGCTTGGTTGCTAACCCAAACTGGATGGGTCAAGCCCACTAGTGGGTCTGAGGAAGGAAAGACTTGGAATTTTGATCTATAAAGATTTCAGCCTAGAAAATCCTATGGGGCAGTTCTACTCTGGTGTAAAGAGTCAATATGAATTTGACTAGTCATATAATAGTTAACAACAATTACAAAGATACAGATATATAAATTCTCACATTAAAGCTTGTATTGCCTTTACATTGGATTTTTAAGCATCTATTTAAATAATTGCACCCTGGTGGTTTAGTGGTAATGTGTGACATTGCCAACCCAAAATGATGTGGACTGGATCCTCCAGGGAGAAAAATAGGTCATCTCCTCCCATATGACTTAAAACTCACTGGAGGGTCAGATATGCAAAGTATCTCACTCAACAGTACATAACAATAGATAACAGCAAATTTTAAATATTGCCTGTGTGGATTACTACAATTTGTGACTGACTTTGAGACAATGGGAATCCCAGAACACTTGATTTTGCTTATACGAAACTTATACTTGGACCAAGAGGCAGTCATCAGAACAGAGCAAGGAAACACTGCATGATTCAAAATTGGGAAGGGTGTGTGTCAAGGATGTGTCCTATCTCCATATCTCTTCAATCTATATGCAGAACAGATCATCGGGAGTCTGGGTTCTATGAGGAAAAGCGTGGTATCAGGATTGGAGGTAGATTTATCAACAGTCTGCATTAAGCAGATAACACAACCCTGCTTGCTGAAACTGAGGAGGACCCGAAGTGCTTGCTGCAGAAGATCAAGGATTGCAGCCTTTAATGTGGATTGAAGCTCAACATCAAGAAAACAAAGATTCTTACCACGGGGCCAATTGGCAGCATCATGATAGATGGTGAAGAGATTGAGATTGTTGACAGCTTTAGTGTGCTTGGCTCTACAGTCAACACTCCTGGTACTAGCAGCCAGGAAATGAAAAGACGAATTGGATTGGAAAAGTCTGCTGTCAGAGAGCACTCCAAAGTACTGAGGAGCAACAATATCATTCTGAAGACTAAGGTGCGTCTGATACAGGCCATGGTCTTTGCAATCACTTGCTATGCTTCAGAGAGCTGGACAATGACTAGGGATGATAGAAAGAGAGTTGATGCCTTTGAGCTTTGGTGCTGGAGAAGAGTATTAAATATACCATGGACTTCCAGAAGAACAAACAAGTTCATCCTAGAGAGGGTGAAGCCAGACTGCTCCTTGGAGGCAAGGATTCAGAAGCTTTGTTTGACATATTTTGGACATGTTGCAAGGAGGGATCAGTCCTTGGAGAGGGACGTCTTGCTTGGGTGGCTGGAGGGACGGTGCAGGAGAGGAAAACCCTCGATGACATGGATTGATTCTATCACTGGCATAATGGGGATAGGCGTGTTGCAGACAGTGAGATTGGCAAGGGTTAGAGCAGGGCTTAGGCTGTTGTACATAGAATCATTATGAGTCGCAGGTGCCTCGATGGCACATAACAACAACAACAACAATATATTTTATGCTTATAGCATTGTATTTTCTTACTTTTGATGATTTAGCCTGCAATTGTTTCAGCTACAACTTTAGCTGAGTTTTTCTGTTTTTCTTTTATAGGAGCATTTCCGTGCTTCCCACTGTGGCTGCATATAACAATCGAGCTCAAGCAGAAATCAAATTACAGAACTGGAACAGTGCTTTTCAGGACTGCGAAAAGGTCTTGGCACTAGACCCTGGAAACTTAAAGGGTAAAGATATTCATAGACTATTTCCAGACTTTAACTGTTTTGTAAAGAATACAGCAGGATCCATTTAGATAATTGTTCACACTCATTGAAATAAACTAAAATTTTCCCTTTAAGGGTCACCATGTTGATAAAATTACTTTCCACTTTAAGATCTAGTTAGAATGTAAACCCTTGATTGTTTATATTGAGTCTTTCTCATACGCATTTGCTGTCAAGTTGGAATCAACTCATAGCTGACTCTCCAGCAGGTTTTCAGAAGCAATTAATCACCTGGGAGGAGATAACCCATACTTCTCTCACAGAGCAGCTGGTGGATTTGAACTGTGTGCCTTTTGGATTGTAGCACAGCTTCTTACCACTGGGCCACCAGAGCTCCTATGTATGTACATAGACATTTTAAATTAAAAAATGGCCATAAAGATGTTATTATTCCATCAAAACCTGCACTCTTTCCTTTTCTAGTTCATTATTCTACTTCATCATGGCCCAAGATATCAACATCAGACTCTGTTCTTTTTCTCTTATAAAAGATTTTCCAAGAGGGAGTGGCACAAATTATAGACATTATGCATATCTTTAAACATCTATAGACTTTAAATAAACATATATATTTCTATTTTCCCCCCATATAGAATGTACCTCTTTGTGACTATAAACATGGATGGGCAGACACTATTGATGTGCTGTAGAGAACTTGACACATCAGTCTCAACCATCATAGTTGTGTATTGGCCTCTATTCCCCGAGAAAGTCGTGTCAGCTGGTCATCAGCACTAAGTACCCATGGCTTCTCAGCTTTAATCAGGAACCCGGTGAAAGTTTTGTGTTCTCCTGGTGGCCCACACAACCTCTGTGTCCAACCCTATGCCAAGAGCTTTACATACATCAACACCATTAACTTTCATTACTTCCTCACAGAGGTACTGATAATATTATGTGTAGTAACAATTCATTTTTCAAAGGAAATAACTGAGGTATAAGGAGATTAAGTGACTCATTCAAGGTCACAGAACCAACGAACCAACAAATGGCAGGGCTGAGACTCAAAACAGGATCACAAACTCCAATGCTATAGTACTCTTCTGCCAGAGGTATTACACTGAGATTTAGTTCTTCTTTGTTTGAGTCATTTCTTAACCATTAGAATTTTTATTATTTGAAAAAGTTAAACTAATTATGAACATAGCCATAAAACACTGGGCCAGTAGACAGTCACATGATAAATGGCGAAAGGATTTAAACTGTAAAAAATGTCATCTTACTTGGATCCACAGTCAACAACAGGAGATCAGAGATGTCTTCATTTCGTAAAGTCCACTGTCAGGGACCTCTCCAAAATATGGAGACATAATGATTTTTTTAAAATGGCATATTAAAATCACATAGTGACACATCTTCAGTTAAACTTCCCTCTTTACCAGTAATTACAGGAATGATGTTGAACCTTAAATATCCAGGCAATGACCATTCTATCACAGGTGAATAAAAATGTCTTTCTTGAAGTTTAGCTTTTACAAGCTAATATTTTTAGGGAACTATTAGAAAGTTCTTATAGGTTGTTGATATAATCTTTGAAGCAGAAATCCTTGCATTAAGATACGAGTGTGTGAGAGTGAAAGAGTGTTTGTATTTAGACACTTTTGTAAATATTGTAGTCAATATAAACATATAAAAATACAGCTGAAACATTCTGTTCTACTTATTGTTAACCTTTTAAACATACAATTGCTGTGAAAATAGTGTTGTTACATTTAAGGAAAATTGACACCACTGTTTGGAAAATAAGACTCTTGTGGCAAAAATGCAGCTGATTAATTATAAACTCTATTTCACAAATTGATGCTGGCAAAGGAATTAGTGAAAACTAGAAAACAACAAATGACATCATTTCATTCTAAATGATGTAGTGTGATCAAATAGAATCATCCAGAAATTTACTGTATTATAATTTTTTACTTAAAAAACATTCATTGTTATGGAGTTGGCACTAACTTATAGCTGTGCTAACTAACTTATATTCAGAAGTTAGAAACTGCATAGGAAGAGATTGCTCATCTTTCTCCTGAGAAGAACCTGGTGGATTTGAACCACCAGCCTTTGCGTTGGCACTGAAACTCCCTACTCACTAGGCTGAGTTCTTTCTTTCTACAGCAGTTATTTATTCTGAGTGTTTTTAAAAGGAAGTATTTTAAATCCCGCCAATTGATGCTATTTCTTAATCTTAAGTGAACTAAGATTTTTTCCTTTTAATAATCTCTTAAATATCCTTAAATTATATACACTCACCGCAAAGTAATGGAATTATTGTAACAAACAATTGCTTCTACCCGAAACTTCACAAGTATGGGGGTTGCGGTGTAATTTATTGTACATAATATTCTTAGCTAAGAATACATGATCTTATTCTGGAAACTCTTGACTATGTATTTTATTTAAAAAAGAGAATGTTTACATCAACTAACTCTTAAATAGAGAGCTTTGGTGGCCTAGGGTAGGGAATTGTGCTGCCAGTCCAAAGAGAGGGAGTTTGCATCTTCTAGCAGTAAAGATGGACAATCTCCTCCCATGTGATTTGCAGTCTATGAAAACTGGAGGGAAATTCAGCTATGAGTTGGTTTTAACTAAACAGCAATGATGAGTAATCTCTTAAAAGTTAGCTTATAAATAGTGTATCATTTTCTTTGGTCTAAGAAACATTTATACTAAGTAATGAATCAGGCTTTTCCACAATGGTCTCAGGACCATTTCACAAATTGTCACTTTGACTGTACAACTAGAAAAGGTCCAGGTGTTCTGTTTGTATAATACAGCAGAATTACTTTATATTTTTTACACTTTAAATTTCACCTGCAATGGGGAGGATTCTTCACCACTCTTGTGGATCACAGTCAGCAAAATTATAGGAAAGGTCTTAAGGAAATGAATTTTTCATAAGGATGAAAGACAAAATGGTTGAACCTTGGAGAGAAACCAAACAGTGTCTGCTATCTTAACCCCTGACTCTAACATCTGTAGTGTTGAGACTATCATTTGTGCTCACTGAGTGGTAACTAGATAAAGTTGGGTAGTTAAATTATTGTTCCACAGGCCTCCCAAGTTTTAAAAAGAAAAGGAGTTGTAAATTTAGCATTTCAGAGAAGGAATGCCATCAGGGCTGCATGCAGTGTAAACAAGTGGCATTTTGCAAGCAGGCAATGCCTTTCTGCTTTTTTTTCAGGCACATGCCTTTCAATTTTGTTGGTCACACCATTGTATAAAGCAGAGAACTGACTGTTGTTTATTCTTTTTTTTACATGAAGAAGTTACTAACGTTTGTGGTAATATATCCTAACGTTTGTGATAATAGACTTCTAAACCTCCTCTCATTCAGAGGCACTTCTAAAAAATTATCATTTTT